CTAATCCGGCAAACATGGGCGACCAAGGGGATGAAGATGACGTGTACTATGTGCCGCCAGTTCCAGGGGCAGTTGGAGGTAAAAGGTCAGCGTCAAGCCTAGGGACCAGCGGTGAACCGGAGGGAACTAGAGGGTCAAAATCTACAAGGTCATCTACAGGTCTTGAGGATGCTATTAGCAAAATTGGAAATTACTCCGACGTTGTACTTGAGGACAGACGGAGCAGGATGGAGTTCGAGTCCCTCTATAGCGTAATCCAGTGCCAGGATGTGATCAACACAATGGACATTCCGCCAGAATGGAGAATACACGCTAACTGTCATTATGCGAATTATGAAAAAGAGGGTGAGCGCGTTATATTCCTTCGGGCTTCTGCAACTGACCAGTACGGCTATATCCTTAAGTTGATGAAAGAGAAAGGCTTGGCTTGAGTTGTGTGGGCAGCTGAAAACTAACGTATTTCGAGAACTATTATATTATTATTGTATGTGTTGTTGCTGAAAACTAGTTACTTTTTACTCTTTACTTGTTGGAGTCAGTTACTCTTTGCTCTTTGGTGTGTATAAGCCTACCCCGCGTTGGCTTTGAGAGTAGGCTTTCTGAGGACATATGAAAATAAAATATATGTATTGTCTTTGAGAGTCATGATGGGGATTTGTATCGTGGTTACAATTTCAGATTATTTTTACAGCTATTTATAAGTAAACCGCATTTGGTTATATTTTTATGTCAGATGTTTGTTGTGTTTCCTCTGGCTTTTGGTTTATATATTTTAGGGTGCAGTACAGGACATAAGCTCTTCATTCATCTCATATTTTTGTTTCAGTACCTATCTTCTTTGAGTCATGATGTATGGGACGGTTCTATTTGTTATGTAATCAATAAAATATGAATTGAATATAAAAACTACATATATATGTTGTAATTGTCAGTTTTGGAATGCAAATTTGATGAATTAAATAAAACATGAAGGATTAATTAGTTAATTCATCAAATAATGATAACTTTTTATTGGTCACTGCACTTTTTGGTTTGAAACCGAAATATGAGAAACTTGATCCAAAACAAAAAAATGCATAGCGATAACAGTTATTTGCTTCGCTCTCAAGCATAACTCACAACAGTCACTTTGACAGGGGACTTCAAAGAACAAAGCAGAAATTAGATCTTGCAAATGCACTTTGTTATTTGGTGGGCCTTCAAAATGTTTAGATGCTTTACAAATTCCAAACGTGCTAAAGCAACGAGGTGACCACTAAGGATCAACTTCCACTATGCTTCAGCTTTGTTGCTGTGCCTATTTCCCTACGCCACTAATGCCTACTGCCCTTTGCAGTTTTTATACCCACAGAGAGGCAGTTCAAGTGTAAAATGTAATGCTTGAGCGTGGTGAAATAATTCGGACCTTGGGGCCAGGCTGAAATAATTAGTCCATGGGGCCAGGCTCCCTACCGCCAGGCGCCCTACCAAGCATGGAGATAGGTTTTGTATGCTAGTGATTTTTTCTTTTGCTCGTCCACAGAAGTCTGAAAAGTAGAAGTGTGATGGACTTGTATGTTTGCACTTGCAAATATTCAGGATGGATTTGAAATTACTCTGCAGGTATGCAGTAGCACATAACAGAGTACTATAGGGGCCACAAATTGCAGAAATGCATGTGCTAATCTGCATCCCAAGGCCTTAACCACCATAAAGTGGCAACTTGTGGGTGGAAGTTCTTATCGTAGTACGAAAACCCAAATGCATCGCAATGCAGATCAGCCATCCACCCCAATAAATATATCATACTACCTTAAGAACTTGCAGAGTACCTCGCTACTCCTAAAATCACAAGAACGAAAAGTTCGAGGCACCTTACCAAGACGAATAGCCGGCAATTTCTTCTCCCAAAGTAGCGTTACAGTTGATTGTGTACGTGCTTCTCTGTGTGGGCAGAGAGTGTGGCAAAACGTTCTGTACGTGGTGTGCCAGTGGAAGTGAGGTAAGTAGTAGCGGTCTCTTTGTAATAGTGCAATCTAAATTCATTTCTGTGGTTATTTAGTTCTTGTATGGGAATCGTTTATACTCTCTGTTAATGCATTGTACGTGTATCGTGTAAAAGTGATTCATATTTTCATGTTCAAAGTGATATCAGAACAAAGTGGCAGTTATTTGAGGTATTACGATTCAAAAAGTGTCAGTTAGAAGTTATAGCTATGGCTGGATAATGAGATAGACCTTTTTGTGGTAGTACGAATCCAACTTTTAAATGCATAAATGTATTATAAATCCATAAATGTATATTTATATAAAAATATATAAATTATAAATCACAAATATATTAATTTATACATTTATATAATATTCATTTATAATTATATATATTTATACATTTATAAATATATTTATATTATATTAAAAGTGATATTGCCAAATACGTGCTATAAAAGTCATATTGCTAAGTATTCTATTTAAAAGTCATACTGCTAATTTATACTCCATAAAGCTACTCTAGTTCTCTTAATTGGTTTGAGAGGATGATGAAGACTCTAACGGGACATGTCTGACCAATTACATACTTATTTAAAGCCATTTTATGTCTAGATTCCCGATATTTAATTTATTTCCATTAACACGTGTATTAACACATTTATGGAATTGGTTATACACATACGAACACGCTTATGTAAACATATATACAGATATATACTCAATTATCATGGCCTGGAACAACCGCCGTGGTGCTAGAGGACGCAATGCAAACCGCATGAGGCAAGACGAGGAAGATGAGGCCTTACTTCTTATGAGTGCCTCGTTAATGTTAATGCATCCGTCACTTGCACACGTGGATAATAATCAACCACTTCCGCAACATGATGGTTCATTCACAGATAGGCAGTGGGTAGAACGCGTACTCTACGGTCATCATAGACGCTCAATAGATAACATGCGTATCACGGTTGATAATTTCTTGCTACTGTCCAATATTCTTGTCGAGAGACAGTACGTTCCACACAATTACCAACAGCGCGTGCCCATACAGGAGGCGCTTGCTATGACTTTAATGTTGGTCAGCCACAAGCATACGCACCGTGTGTTGGGTACTATTTTTGATCGATCCATCGAGACGATTAATCGAAATATAAAAAAGGTGCTCCGAGGCCTGTGTCTATTTGCAACTGAAATAATACGACCGGGTGACCAGACTGCAGTTCATCGACGAATTGCAAACTCAACTAATTTTTATCCATGGTTCAAGGTAATGTGGAAAGCATAAGTGATTTTTGGCTTGATGTAGTAAGACGATTCTAGAAAGTTGATTATATATATTTTTTACACATATTAGGATGCCGTGGGAGCGATGGATGGCACCCACATCTCAGCTTGTCCTCCGACAGGCGAGCAAATGGCATATACAAATCGGCACGGGTGGCAATCACAGAATGTTCTGGCAGTTTGTGACCATGACATGCGCTTCATCTATGTATATGCTGGATGGGAGGGAAGTGCACACGATGCGCGAGTGTTGGAGTCAGCATTAGCATATCCGTCCGATTTTCCACTGCCGCAACCTGGTAAGTGATGGGTCCAATATTTCAAGTCAAGCATGTGCTATGCTTTATTACCACAACTCCTATTTTTTATCGCGTTTATTAATTAGAATAACTTTGTCAATTAGGCCAGTACTACTTAGTTGATGCGGCATACAAGAATGCTCCAGGTTTCATGCCCCCGTATAAGAACGTGGGGTCCGAATCTCCGGCAAAGGCCTTGTTCAATACTCAACATTCGCAATTTCGCAATGTCATTGAGTGCACATTTGGTGTGCTTAAGAAAAGATTCAAATGGTTAAAGGGTCCGATAGATAATTTCTATATGAGCACTCAAATCAGTATAGTCATTGCTTGTTGTGCGTTGCACAACTTTTTAAGGATGCACCAACCAGAAGATGCCCATTTTCAACGGTTTGAATCAGAAGACGTGCACTTAAATGAAGAGCCAGAAATAGGCGGGCCAGTACTTCAGCCGTTCGCATTAAACGTATCTCCTGCAGAGCTGGCGGAATGGAAAGCTAAACGAGACTACATAGCGACTCAAATGTACGCAGCACGGGGGCGACGCCGCCGTTAGGTGTTCACCCGCATTACAAAGGATTGTAATTGTCCAGGCAATTTATTTTTCCATGTGTAGAGTGTACTTAAAATGCCCTCGATTTCCAACTTCTAAATTAATCTGTACCGTTTGTGTATTAAGTATGCAATTGGTTTAGTGTAAACGTAGTATAAAGTCAAAATTTTCGAAGTCAAAGTCAAAATTTTCAAAGTCAAAGTCACCTGCTTAAATTCAATAATGAGCACCTGTCCAAACGCTAATTTACACGATTTACTTACTATCCAAACGCTTATTTCATATTTACGCAATCTTAAAAAGTAACCTAAAAAATATCTCAAATAACTTACAATCCAAACGGACCCAATGAATTCTAGTTAGACAACCATGTAGCAAGTTCTTGGATTTGTCTAGTCAAGAATAAAAATGCTTAAGTTAGTTTTCTGGTGTTCAACATATTGATTTATATACCCACAACATTCAGAAAAACCGTCAGAAACTGTTCACATGTAACCTTTCAAAGGAACATGGAGTTTCACTGTAAAAGGTGCTTCCAAAAGGTGCAAACCTTTCCTATTTTGCAAACTACATTAACAAGTTTGTAGTATTTCCAAGAATCCAATTTTTTAAATAAAGAAAACAAACATACAAAAATCTTTCTATCATTGTGATGTTTCAAATGTTTAATGCAACCGAATTTTGTGATGTCATGTCACACGTCAAAGCGGGCTAATTTAATTAATCCCACGACAAGTTATTCAAATATAAAGTGTGCTGCTGATTTTCCGGATCGCGATTACTATAAAGAAACAGCATAACCTTCTATCATTGCTCTTTCTCTCTCTCTCTCATACACAATTACTCTATTAGTATTTGTTTTTAGCCACTAGGCTTAATTTTGCTTCTTTTTTTTTTTTTTTGGAGTTTCACATAGTTTTGGTTACCAAGATCTTATTCTTATTGCAGATGGATAAAACTTCTGTCCTTGGAGATGCTATCATTTACTTGAAACATCTTCAGGAAAGAGTGAAGACGCTCGAGGAGCAAGTTGCGCAACAAACCATGCAATCTGTCGTTCTTGTGAAGAGATCACAGCTTTTGGTTGAAGATGAAGGATCTTCTGATGATACGGGTGGCCCTGATGAGCAGCCACTCCCGGAAATAGAGGCAAAAATGTGCAATAGGAACATTCTTCTCAGGATTCACTGCGAAAAGCATAAAGGGGTTCTGGTTCAAATTCTTTCCGAGGTAGAGAAACACAATCTTGCTGTCATGAACACGTGTGTGGCTCCGTTCGGAAATTTGGCTCTTGATATTACCATAATTACTGAGGTGAGTTTAGCAGTCAAAAGAAATTTTTTCCCTTGGGATTTTGTTGACATGAATATTGAATGTGATGATACATGGTTATACATAAAGAATTGCAGCAGACGTGAGGTAGACTTCCACATGCTAGAAGCAAGGTAAAAATATTGAAAAAGATATATTGTTGCTGGGGGATTTGAAGTTTTGAACCAGCAAATCTCACCCCGAGAGAGCTAGTCACCAATTTTTATTTTAGACACTCTATTAGTAATTTTCAATGTTTACAATATGTTCTAAGTATTGATTTCATTATATCTTTCCAGATGGAAAAAGAATTCAGCCTGACGATCCAAGAATTTTAACTAATTCTTGGATCCGCTCTCCATCGGGGGACGGTTAACAGGTGCTGAGCTTGTGCAATAATAAAAATAGAACCTAACTATCACTAAAAGCAGTCAATAATTAATCCTAGGTACTGGAGTAGGGACTCTAGGTGTGCAATGGGTTACTTGATTCACCCTGTTCCCGAAGAGTTTGCTTAATCCGATATACCATAATTAATTAGTTGACAAAATTTACTAAATAGTAGACAGTGGCAAGCAGGGTCATCTCCTCAGGGACTGGGGATATTTGTCTCTTTAAGATTCCAATTGATAAGGGGGGATTTTATCGGAATGAAACTAAAAACAATTAAGTAATTCAACTAAAAATAAATAATTAACTAGCACGAATATAGCAGGAATTAAATTAAGAATAGATAAATTCTAGCCAAGGATACAACTATTCAGACACAGTCCACTTACCCGATCATTGATGCAAGGGAGGTTCACTTAATTTATTAATAGGCTAGTTATAGTCGTCGACGAGGTCTAACGATCAATTTTTCCTTAATTTATTGATAACCAGGGTACGACCATTGATTACTCCTAACCAGAAAATACTCCTAGGTACGACTGCAGGAATTAATTTTCCAATTGCATTAAGAACTAGAAAAACCTAACCCCAATCAATAACACGCTACGAGGGTTATTTAAATTAGATTGCACGTTCCCCTAGTATGTAAACACACCAGTTGTCACTAATATTAACCAATCAAACAATTACGGATTTAATTGACTAATTTGGCAGGAGATTAATAAGTCATATTGAACATCGGGCCCTTGACATCCAATTAACAAAATAATCCCATGGAAATTCAAGTAGATAACGTGCAAATATTAACAAATTAAGGAACGCATGAAAACTAATTAGATCTCACGGATATTCGGGACTGCGTCGTCGCGTTGATCCTTGACTAGGTGAAGAGATTAGCCACGCCTCATGAGAAAATCGCCACGCAATTCAATTGAGTTCAAGAACATCATATTTCTTCACTAATAATCAAGAAGTCAAAGCCGTATTCTATTCGGGACTATTGCCGAACACAAGGCACGCATGAAAGGAAAAAAGAAAGAAAACTAAACTATTGCTCCCAAAAAACAAAAACTCTCGCCTCCGTACGTTTGTTTCTAAGCAATGACTCATGCTTCCGTGGTCCCCCACCGAATTGAGAAAACGAAGTACAAAAGGTAGGCCCTGCCGAATTGACTCTTGTTTCCTATTGCTATTAGGACTTCTCCGTACCAGGCAACTCTTCATCAGTCCAAAAGGAAAAGGAAATCCGTTTGTTTCTCTCCTTGTGGGCCAGGTGGATGGACCTTTTTGAAGTCTTCCACTTATGGAGCCATTTTCTCAGGATAGTTTCTTCTTTTTAGCACTTTTCAGTTCCATCCTGAAATTGAATCCAAATATCAAATATAAGTAGATATTAATAATTAAAATAATATTTGGCAAGGATAAAGAAAGAAATTAACAATAAAATTACTAACAATTAACACCCTATCAACGGTGGCCGATTAAGAGCCCCCGGTTGGACCGCCAAGAGAACTGTTCCATATCCTATGGGATATGGAATTCCTGATAAGAAGTTTATATAAAGAATTCCTGATATAGAGTATGGACCTCAAGAAATCAAGTTGTTGATGACTGATGGTGAAGAAGACAAACGACGTTCACGGGCCATGCTTTGAGATTGACAACATATGGATGCATATGCATATTAGTACTTGCCCCGTTTTAATCAGGAATGAAAATTACTATCAAGATTAGACTAAAAAAAAAAAATAGGCCTACCTCCTCGAGGGTCTCGTGAGCTTTCGATTGATTTTCGTGTGTAGCTATTTGGCATTGCACGTAGATGATACAAATATACAAAATGTTACTGGTTCCCTTTAGATTACATTTTTATGAAGCATTTTGGTAAATTTTTGGGTTTTTTTAGATTTTTTTTTGTTGGTGTTTTCACAAATTTGATTTGTATCGACTATTTTGAGTAGCTTTACAAGCTTTTGATGTAGATATTGTAACACTTGTTACGATTTAATGTATAGTTGTATATCAGACAATAAAAAAAAAAGGTGTTACAAAAGCAAAAAATGATTCTAGCACTGTTAGCATATCCTGTCAAGGAAGTTTCTTCAGTTGATATTCCACTTATTAGGGCCCATTAATTTGATGATGAAAGGTTTTCCTTTTTTTTTTGGGCAAATTATATTTTACCCCCTATGGTTTAGTGTTTTTCTACATAACCCTCCTATGGTTTCAAAAACTATACATAATCTTCTCATGGTTTGGATTAAAATGTCAAAGTGACGGAAATAATTATTCGAAATGGAACTTTTAAAAATGTCGAAATTACCCTTATAAATACATGACACACTAATCCCGTCTGATTAGGGGTGGCAATGGGGCGGGGGTGGGGTGGGGGAGGGACCGCCCCGTTGCCTATTAATTCCCCCCGCCCCGCTCCGTTTCCCCCGCGGGGGGCACCGTTGGGGTTAAAAAAAATTATTATATAATTTCATTATAATTAAATTTCAGCAAATAATCAAGTACTAAAATAACTACATATCACCAAATTATTATTCATTGCAACTTCACAATTGAAACTCATAAAAATAATTAAACAATATTTGAATACAATCTAATATGATAAAACAAATATAACTAAAATAATCAAGTTTTTACTTTTGATACAAATACAATCACTAAATTATTATTGTATTTTTTTTAGAAAAAAGTGTTATTGTATTAAGTGTAGTTAGGAATTTAATATAAATGTATTAATAAATTTAGTATAAATAACTAATAATTTTTATTAATAGACATGTATAATTAGTAGTATAATTGATAATATCATCATATATATAATTATGCACATATATATATATATATCTTTTTTTTCTAACCGGGTGGAGGGCCGGGGGTAGGCCTGTCAACGGGTCGGGTCTAGACCCGGATCCGGACCGGATCAGTGAAATTATTGCGGGTATGGGTAGGGATTTAATTCTGTTTCCCGAATCCGGATCCGGATCCGTTTTGTCAAACAAAAAAACGGATCGGATACGGAATATAGTATTCCGACCCGTATTAGACCCGGATCCAGATATAAATGAATTAATAATTTAAAAAATATATATTTATCAATATAATTTGATTAGGGTGATGTATTTGAATAAAGTCAATTTGATTTCTTTTCTTATTTGATTTTTTCTTTGCATTAGTTAGAAATTAGTTTACAAATATATTTTTTTCTTATTTTTATTAGAAATTAGAAATTTTGCTAAATTTGTTCGGGTAGACCCGACCCGGATCCGGGGACCCGCCGGATCCGGATCCGGAACATAGAATAAAAGACCCGTAGGGTAAACGGGTCGGATCCGGGTCCGGTATAGTAATTCGGGTCCGGAATAACGAATTCCGACCCGGACCCGGCCCGTTGACAGCCCTAGCCGGGGGGTGGGGCAGGGGAGTATACCACCACCCCCTGCCCCATTTCTAAACGGGGGGAAAAATTCCCCCCAACCCCCGCCCCAGCCCCCGCCCCAATAGACCCCCGCGGGGCGGGTGCCCGCACCCGTTCCCATCCCTACGTATGATTTTATATTTTATCAAATAACTCCCTTATAATTTAATGCTTTACCATATAACTCTCTTCTAGTTTTCAAAATATACACATAACTCCCTTTGGTTAATCAATAATTTTCAACTTTACATAAGGGTATTTTTGATATTTTACGTGACTCCGCTACGAATGATTATTTCCGTCACTTTGACACTTTAATCCAAACCATGAGGAGGTTATGTATAGCTTTTGAAACTATAGGGGATTATGTAAAAAAACACTAAACTAAGGGGGGTAAAATATAATTTGCCCCCCTTTTTTTTTACATTCCCTTCATTATCAAGAAAAAAAAAAGATTGTTTCTATTGTTTCTTTTATTTCCTAATGTACAATCAAAATCAAAACATGAGATGTTCTTTACAATAATACACGGCTTATGATTAACGACTTAGTCAATCCACGTGTTTAGAAAAGCCATTATTAGCTGATGTCTGATGATTAGCAAGAATTAACAAAGTCTGCATTCTGGCCATTGATTGATGAATCTTACTAGTCGTGTGGACAGCACTCTTCGACATCAAGTGATATCGGGTGCCACAATGTGTTAAAGTGCACTAGGTGCCCACAATAGCAATGAGATGTTTTTGCATGATGAATCTTGAGTAGCCAAATACTTGCTAATATATTCAATTACTAAGAACTATACAAGTTTGAATAGCCATGTCTGAACTATCAATGCACTTTGTGAGGACTCGTAAAAACTATTATTTTTTTTAGCCTAATTTGTGGCTTAATAAATTATTTAATTGGATATTTGCCTCGAGGAATATTTTCTAGTCTTATTAGACCTAAATACATGGTAATATAACTTCGTTATATTTTTAAAGTAACTCATTTCATGAATTAATTTCCTGGAGCGCGTTTAGTAAAAACAGTGAATAGTGCTTGAAGATTTTATCCGCTTGAGAGTACAATAAGTTTGGAATATTGGAGACATGTACAATGGACCTAAATTCGGTATTTTAATGTTTAAATACTCAAGTGATAGTTATTAGTACTATCGTTATAAGAATTTCCCGGAGGTTTCGCGTTATAGCGTAAAAAATTGACGGTACGCGTTTTCACACGCGCGACTTTATTTGAGGGACTTTAGACCTTTATTTCGGGACAATTAAGAGTGAATATTATCTACATGAATATAAATACATTGGAGGTTTAGTGCACTAGTGAACCAAACGCGCGAGAAAATCGAGCCCTAATCGCGCCAAACGCACCCTAATGTGAGTTGACTAATGGGTGACTTGAGGCCACAAGTTAATGTCTTCTCTTGGAAGCTAAAATCTGATCACTCTCTCTCTCTCTTGAGCTTCAAACAGCCGGCCAGCTCCCTCCTCTCTCTAACTCATTTGCAACAAAATTTCTGCTCACT